ACCAGAAAATAAACAAATAAATAGAGGGGTCCAGATGCATGTCCCAGTCTCCATTCACTCCAAGAACAGACTCCACTGTTCTTAGACTGTGTTCATAGTTCCCCATCTGTCAAAAAAGCATTCTTTATCTGCAGTATTCAGATCCTAGAGTGCCAAAAAAGAGAACCAAGGGAAATTATCTACAAGTATGTGTTATCTATACCAATATTTTCATCATTTCTAATAAGTGGAATTTGATGAGGTATATTGCTTGAGATAAAAGGGCAATGTGGTGAAAGAGTTCCAGCTGTGTAGGTTTGCCATCTATCTACAGTTTTGCTCATTCTGTGGCTTAGAACACTCATCATTTCTCAGGCATCAATGATTTGCCCATGATAGAAAACAAGGAAGCAAACTTTAAAAAGGTTCACAAAATGCATTTGAACAGAGTAGTCGATTTCACTAAATGAAAAACAAATTGACCAAAATTCATATGTTGAACTCCTAACCTCCCGTACCTAAGAATGTGATTGTATTTGGAGATAGGATTGATTCAAGAGATAATTAAACTACAACGAGGTCACTAGGATGGGCCTTAATCTTTAATCCAATGTGGACTGGTGTCCTTAAAAGAAGAGGACGTTAGGAACAGATACCTGAACTGAGATAAAACCATGTGAAGACAGGGAGAAGATGAGTGCCTACGGGCTTGGAAAGAGGCCTGGAATATACCCTTCCCTACTGGCCCCCAGAAGACACCAACCCTGACAGAACTTTGATCTTGGACTCAGGCTCCAGAATTGTGAAAACCAATTTCTGTTGTTTAAACCACCCAATCTGTGGTACTTTGTTATGGCAACTCTGGGAAACTAATACAATTTTCTGGTAGATAAACACGGACTATAATAAGCGGTCAAAACAGAGCTCTCATCATAGACAGATTCAGAACCTTGCTCCAGGCAGGACCCAAGGTAGGTGGGTAAGTACTCGCAGAGGGTTTGCAGCACTCACACGGGGGTGTGGGCTCTTCTTCCTAAGCACACAGTCATTTCTCAGAAATAAAATGGAAAGAAATAGGAAGGTTCTCTTAAGTGTGAAAGGGGAACTTCAGATATTTTTTTTTCTTCCAAACTATCAGTGAAACCTCTTGAAAAGAGCTTTAAGAATGTAACATCAGATGGGCTCTTCTCATGAATAACCTTGATCATTAATCTCTTATTCTCCCACAACCCAGAGCATTCCACTCCACCCTGAAAAACATAACAATGTGACATTTCCTCCTGAAGAGCATTTCTCTGCACACAGGAAATAATGCATATAATTGAACACATATTAAATAGGCACTCTGTATTAAGAAAGAAATGTTTATGCTCTTAAAAATGGACAGGGTAAATTATATGAGATGTTAATTGTATCTTAATAAAGCTATTATGCATTTATATCTCAATAAAGCTTAATGAAACAAACGTGCCACCTTTGTCCATTTATTTCTTTCATTTAGCCCAATTTTTCACTGATATCTTAAAATCATCTACTTAGCTTTGTTTACACGGCTGTTCCACTTTCCTCTTGGGCAGCCTTTAGAGGTTATTACTGATTCAAAAGAGGAGATTAAGGTCTCCAGTGAAAAGTCAGAAAGCTGACAAAGATAGAAATACCACTGACCTTGGTGTTGCCTGCCTCATTTCCTTCAGAGGATGTTCAAAGGATTTGGCCATGCTGTCTTTCACGGGCGGATGATGCCTCTCCATCCTCACTTAACCATTTCCACAACCAGTCGTTCCTCCTCTATTCCTCTCTCCCAGCCGGCGTCTTTCTGACAGCAGGTGGGGTGTATCTACTAGATTATGGGTTCTGCTTGAGAATGAGCAATTAGGAGTAATAAGAGATCTTCTTGAACCTTCTAGGCCTAGTAAACCTATAATCCTGATGGGGTTTTAGATGGCTCTGTCATGTCATCAGCAGTTTATAAAGTGGTATGCAGAGGGTAGATATTGCTGGTAAAGTTCCATTACTTAGCATTTGATTTAGAGCAAAAGTTCATACAAAGTAGCAGGCTCACTGTCCAGTCCTGTGAGAAGGACTCAGATGATCAGCTTCTTGGATTACACTTGAAGGAGAAAGGTTTCTTAGTACAGGAAATAACGCTGAGGTTAATCTTATGTCACATTTTTAAGGGGAAACTTGTCATGGCCTCCCTAACATCCATCTCCTCCCATTTCCAGGAACAGATTTTGATTTCACCTGGTGATCCATGACTCCTAAACCTAGTGGGGATGGGTGGTCAAGGAAGGAGCAGGTGACCCAGCTCTGGTCAATCAAAGGACTACAGTTACAGCCCTCAGTAATTGGCTAAAGGATGAGCAGAAAACTTAAATTGGTCCAATCAGAGGGATTCTTCTTTCAGGATGATCAGGAAATACTCTCTTGCCCTACCAATCAATCAGAGTTCCCTCAGAAAAGGAGAATCCCCAAGCAATGGCATACAGTGAAGATTTATTACAGTGATTTCACCTGACATATTTGCAAAAGCTGGTTTAGGTCTTGGTCGGGTTCTTTTCTTCTGTCTCCAGTGCTGAGCCTGAACTCTTACGTTAGGTTGAGGGAAAGAAGAAATGTACACGAACTGGGAAAGAGGAGGAACAACTAGAATCTGTGTTTGTCAGTGGCTGGCACCCACCCTGGTCTCTCCCTGACTGCAAACCTGCAACCTCACTTTTGTGGCTGACTGGCAGGGAGAAAGGGGGCTCTTGCTGCAGACTCACAGTCATGCCTGGTCAGGATTTGGAGAAGGGAAAGGCAGAGAACCCAGGGGAACTGGAGCTTCAGGCCAGGAAGCTGCACCACACCATCAACCTGAATCAGGAGCTACAATGGGGCCTGACCCTTATGTCCACCTTCCAGGAGTCACAATGGCTATTGTACTGTGACCTCTCAAATTTTCTACAGACTTTTCTAGTGGCCAACCCCAGCCAGAAATATTCAGTGAAGAGGACTCTGGGAAACATTTAGCCAAGTTAACACATTACAAAAGCCAGGACAGCCTGAATCTGGAACGTGGGTAAACGTCAGGCTGGAGTTGCTGCAACCATCTTGCCCCAGGAAGGGACAGTCCGGAGCTGCTGGGCTGCTTTGTAGAGCCCAAGGATGAAACATATAATCAAAGGCAGAGAAGGGAAAAAAACAAACATGCAATTTGATCACCCCGTCCAGCCCTTAATCCTGGAATGCCTGAAACCATCCCTGGAGTTTTCAGCAAGACAATAAATTCTTTGTGCCTAAGCCCAAGTTTGATATAGGTTTTCTGACACCAGCTCCCGAAAGACTGCTAAGTGACAGTCTGAACTCAGAGCTGCTGTGTGTGCCCTCACTGAAGTTTCTTAGCAGTTTTAGAGAGCACTCTTAAGCAGCTGTTAAATCTACTCTAGAGAAAGGCAGCAGTTAATTTGTATCTTATTACTGATCAGGTAAGGGGAAAGAATGAAAGACGTTTTCCCTTTTTAAAACAACCAGCCCAAAAAGAGGAAGACACACTTTCTATTGTCCCTGAGTGTTCTCCTTTCATTGAACCATAATCAGACCCTTTCTATATCCCCGTCGCACTTTGTTTGGTGTCCTCCATGATGTAACAGAACTAGGTGAGCATTGAGTACCTATTTCCTGGGAGTAAAAAAATGTTTTTTTTTTCCTTCCATTGAATGGATTTTTCTACTATGTTAAAAGAGTGTGGTAGCTAATTCTATAATGCCATTTAACCTAATATATATAAGGCCAAAATGACACCAAATCTGCCAATCCCAAATTCTGGTTAAAAGACCAAGCTTGGTAGAACCAGTTTAAGTAAAACCATTAATTTCATTCTGATTAAGTTTTGATTTTCAACTACTAATCATACTTATATAAATATATTAAATGTCCCAGTACACTCCTAGGGTTTAAGTGTGGACTTAAATATTAGGAACGTTTAAAAATCTGTTCCCAGGAACAAAAAGACAGTCTCAAATAGCTCTAAGAACAGAAAAAAGGAAGTCACAGATCCTCCTGGTCACCAACTGAAGAACATTTAAAAAGGAAATTATGGCAAAGGATGAGGTATGAGACATTAATGTCAAAGTGAAGTTGTTCAACCCATTACCCCTTCATAGAATCATCATAACTTAAAATGTGGAACTCCCCATTGGAGTTGTATTGATCGCATTAGTTAAAAACACTTTTTTAAATGGGGAAGAATTAATGCAACAAGAAGTTTAGCAAGTGATGGATCAATACAAACAAGGCTTTCATCAAAGATATTTTACAGAAACAGTGCATCATTGCATATTTTTGCAAAATTATCAAAATACTGTATGCCTCAAATTGTTAACCTATTTTTATTCTAATTTATTTATATTTCAAATGAGATAGAGATCTTAAATATTTTAATTAGTTTTACAATCAAAATTATTTTTAAGATTTTGTTGTCATTATGAAAAATTCACTTTATATCAATAAATAGAGCTCTTTGTAGTGTGATTGTTTTTTTACAATTTAAAAAGTATTTTGCTGATGGAATGATATCAAAATTTATCTAAAAAGTAAGTTTTCCGGCTTAACAGAGATTCTTTTATTTCTATAGAGATACCTCACACATGAGGACATTATTTTAATGTAGATAATTGGTATTTAAATTACTAGTATTCACATTCTCTTCCCTCAAAGCAAAACAAATATACAAAAAACTTATCCTAGTTTTAATACATTCACAGACACTTAAACCTAAGGGGACCTTTAGAGGTTAGCCAGTTCAAGCCCCTAGTTTTACTGGGAAAAGTGAAGCTGAGGGAAGCTGGGTGGTAGACTTGGAAAGTCTCTTAGGAAGTAGAGGTGCACCTTGGAGATACAGCAGATTTGGCTCAAGACCACTGCAATAAAGTGAGCCAAATGAATATTTTCGTTACCCAGTGCATATAAAAGTTACCTTTATACTATAATGTTGTCTATTAATTGTGCAATAGCATTATGTCTAAAAAAATCAATGTATATACCTTAATTAAAATATATTTTATTGCTAAAAATGCTAACCATCATCTGAGCTTCCAGTGAATCATAATCAGTGATCACAGATCACCATACCAAGTATAATAATAATTAAAAGTTTGAAATGTTCCAAGATTTACCAAAACGTGAAAGAGAGACAAAGCGAGCAAATGCTGCTGGAAAAATGGTGCTGACAGACTTGCCCGATACAGGGTCACCACAAAACTTTCATTTATAAAAAAGAGCAGCAAAGCCTAATAAAACAAGGTATGCCTGTAATAGGCACAGATTAGGAGTCACAACTCTCAAGTCCTGAACTAAGATCTTGCAGAGGAAGCCATTCACATTGTCACTACTACAACAGCAGGGCTTTCTCTGGAATTTTCCCCTCTGGCATTACTAATTTTTATCCAGTGATAGTTACCCCATCTCACTCCCTCACATATGAACTGAAACTACTATTCAGAATTGCAAAGCTATTACCTTTAAAACGTTCTCAATTACAAATGACTAGATATACATAAATAGAAAATCAATCAAACTATATATGCCACAAATTTCTACATTTAGTGAAATCTTGATACTGAATATCAGATATATAGCAGATACTAGATATGTACAAAATCAAGGTTCCTGTGAATACATGATCATTTCTTATTTTGTGTTGTGGGCTATCAAATATGCATGCAAGAAACCAACTTTCAGCAATAATTTTATTCTGAAGAATATCTTTGGGTTAGCCCCACCTGGCATAACAACATATGATCTTTGGAACTCACTAATTTCTACTGCAGCACAAGGGAGGAAACTTCATACAGAGGAGAGGGAAAGAATTATATAGGTATATGAAAAAAGAAGATCTATTTTAATTAGAAGAACTTCCAGTGACACAATTTTTCATTATTCTCCTTTTCCTTTATATTGCCTTAAGTAGTCCCTAGACATTGCAAAAATTACAGAAAATATAATTTCAGTAGCACAGTAAGAAAAGCCAAGTTTTGAACTTCCAATTACAGCACTGTGTGATTCTGAATATATTTTCACTACTGTATTTTTATATTATTTATTCAAAGCTATTTACTAGCAGTGACGTTTCTTAGACCAATGCCATCTACGAATGTAGTGCATTCTGCTCTTTCAGAAACCTAGTCAACCCCAAGTTCAAATTTTCATGATATTTTTCTACATTACAGAACATGAAAGTGTGCTGTATTTATTATTAGTGTGAGCAGTTAATGACCCATTACTGCATGCACCTCCTTAATTGGTCTTCATATTAAGGCTTTAACAGAAGTAAGTAGAGAGTCCATGGATTACATAGAAAAGCTGTTACATTGCAAGCAGAGTGCACCAAACTAAAATCTCATCCTAATACATCATTACAGGAAAAGCCTAAGGAACCAAAAGAACTATCTATGCTTTTTCCATTTCCAAGATGCTTAAAAAGTTTTAGATTAAGAGCTTTTGATGCTTTTAATGATGTCAAGGATGGGATTTAAGTGCCTTATTAATTTCCTTGATTTGCTGCCAAATTTCAAAGGCAATTTGTGATTACTGAGTTAATCTTTTCTGATTATAAAATCCATTATAGGAAAAATCTAAAAATTTCTGAAAAGTAGAAATGATTTACAAAAATATTAGAATATATTTATAAGAGCAGAATGTTTGGGCATGGGTTTAAAATTCCTCTGGAAGTATTTGCTACAAGATTACAAAATATCTTTGCCGGTATTAATACTTAAACCACTGCTTCATCCTTAAATTATAGAGATCATGTTTTTCATCTTTTAAACTCTTCTTAAACTTCCCAACAATAATCACAACACATGACATGATGTAAATCTGGAGTGATTTATTTAATCTTACTACCCTAATCAGTTAACAAGATCTCTGCATTCTCAGATCATGAGGCTTGGAAAAACCCAGTTATTAATTTAATTCCTTGCTATTGTTTCCCGAAATTTTCTGGTTTGCTAACATATTAATAAGATTCCAAGAATGTTCTAAAGAAAGCAAAATCACCAGTAAAAATTATTGTATCTTGAACTTACATATTATTTTTTCCCCCTCTCTGAATTTATTTTCAACTAAAATAAATTCTGTCTTTGAATATGTGTACATACCTCCCTGGGGAGGCTGTGTCCTCTTATCATCAAATATAAATATTAAAAGCTTTAAAGATGTTCTTAAACCCTAATTCAAATTACTTTTGCCAGCATACCAAATACCCCAGGGTGGGTGTATTAAAAGCTCCCAAAAGATTCTGCTTTTACTTTTTAGCCAAATGGACATGTTTTATTCAGGATCCCTAAACAAGATCCCCACTCAGCTCATCCCCGTTACCTCTGAGGGGTCTTTCCTTTCCTCACGCTCTCAGGCCCTCCATCCTGGTTCCCGGCCTCTCCTGCGCTCCTTTCCTTCCTGAGGCTTCAGGGCACTGAGAAACTACCTCCCACTTCCACCGTCCCCAGATGGGAAGGACCGCTGGGTCCTCCTTCAGGCTCTTCATTTCCTCCCCAGGGCAAACTAACCTGATCCTGATTCACACGATCCACGCACCCCCACCCCACCACCATATCCATATGTCTTGGCATCTCAGTCTCCATTGCAGCTGTTATTACAGATTACTATTTTACATTAAACTGTACCATTTTTTATGATTGCCTGTCTCCATCACTTAGCAGTGATCTGCTAAATAGATCTCACTGTTTTTTCCCATTATTAACCTCAAGCATCTATGTGCCTGCCACAGAGTAGGTACATACACTCTGAGTGGCAATAAATGAATGACTGTCCAAAACACATTGACACCAGCAGGTGCCCAGAGAATTGACCATATGAGCAAGCACAGATCATCTCTCTGTGAACATGGCCAGCAGCATTAATACTTGCCCAAATTCCTATATGATCTTTGCTTTCCAAAAGCATTAGAAACCACTCTGATGCATACATGTACACACACACACACACACACACACGCACACACACAGATAGCAGTGTTTTTGGTGGTTAAGATCCTGCACTCAAATGTGATAAATCAGGTTTTTAAAAAATCCAAGTTCGGTGGGATTAGCTGGGTCCCAAGATGCTGGAGGAGGGTGGTGAAAACTCCAGTCCATGGATGCAGACAACAGATTCCTCATGATGTCATATTTTCCCTCTGGCAGTCTTCCAAGAGATGGTGGAAGAGAGCAGCGAGCTTCCATTAAAATGAAATAGCTATCCTTTCCCTAGAAGTTTTAATACACATTTTAATTTTCTTACCATGTTGCTATGTGCTTTGGTTTAAAAAAAAAAGAATGAGATTTTGCAGACAGAAAACCTACTTCATACTAGCTATGTAGCCCTGAGCATCCTCTCCAGTTCTTTGAGTTTTCACCTTAAAAATGGGAATAATGCAAGAGAACTCCACCCAGAGATGGGAGAGATCAGGCATGGAAAGCATGGAGCCTGTACCTGGCCCCTGAGTACTATGCTTGCTGCTTCTCTCTCCCTGCCTGCCTCCTGGTAAAACTCCATTCCCTCTGAGGCCTCTAGTTTATCTGGGTGTCTGTATGACGTAATGATGCTAACAGTCATTTGTTTTAACATAAAGAAATTAATGGTAACTTTGAAAGAGCATTTTTCTTTCCTTTCTGAAGAACATAGCAGCATAATGAATGCATTTGAAACATTCCAAAATGTGTGATTATAAAATTCATCCTTGGATTGTGTGTAAGCCTGTGCTTACAGCAGAAAAAGATATTTTTTCAAACATCAAAAAAGTCTTTCCCTTATATATACACACCATCCTCCCTCCTCCAAGAAACATGTCCTTCATTACTAGACTTCTGCAGAAGTGGAGAATGCAGTTGCTCTCAAAACCTCTAAAGAATTTACTAGTATTAAAGCTCCAGTTAGGTCTCGCCATTGTTTGGTTACAGGGTTTTTCATTCTGTCCAGAGCTGATTGAAGGTCTTGTAATACATCTCTGTAGCTATTTCCGTAGTGAGCATGCCAAGTATAGAGAAAATCATAGGCAGGTTTCCACATCTATAAAAAAAAAAATTAGACTGGAGTAGTGTGGAAGTAAAACAGAGAGGAAAATGGATGTTAAGAAAGAGTTTAAAAGCTCTTAAGACTTAAAAGAAAATGGATACCAATTATACATGGATTTATTCAATGCCATAGAAAACATGTTGTAGTGACTATCAATTCCCTGCTTATTCCTGTGTTTCTGAGCCTAGAGTTAAAAAGTAATGGCTACAAGTAGGGCCTTTCTTTCTTGATCCATCACCTATACTTTGCTCATTGCCTTGATATGAATATAAAATACCTTGTACAATTTTTTGATAATAAATGTTATTGACATCAACCTTTCACTCTCTGAGACACTTTTAAGGACAAACTAATAACTATTTTATTGTTACAGGTATCCCTGGTGAGCTTTATGACACCACACCTAAAGAAGGAGCTATATAGTATATTAATGCTTTAAGTCAGTTTATTTGAGCAAGTCTATAAACAAGAAAAAATACAGCTTCATGATCAAGTCAAAAGGAAAGCAAAAGTATAGTTTTCTAATTAAAAGATAATTTAAAGATACATTTTATGACCAAAAGAAAGATCAATATTCAATACTTCATTATGCTTTCCCTAAGCACCTACCCATACCAATGATGTCACTGTTTCCATAGAAATAAATGTACGTCAAAGAGGAACTTCACATACAGGATTGTATGTAATGGTAACCAAGGCAACCAGTCTCAGAGAGGAGAGAGACAAAGGCTGACCAAATAAGACACATTGTAGAATACACACACATTCAGCTGAAAATGAATTTTTTCTAGGTAAACAGCAAAATGAGCCATGCACTTATAGTTGGAATATTTGGAATATAAACTTTATTACTTGCTACTTATTTCAGCTCATTAAACTAATTCATTTGTGATTTTATCAGTTGCAAAATGCAGGAAAACAGACTGTGAGCCAAATATTATACAGAGTTGCCCTCCTAAAATAGAGCTTCCATTAGTAGTAACATCACATGAAATAGAGACTTGATACAATTTTTCTCCTCTCCTCTGTCTGATATCCCCATATACTTTATAATTGAAGCTGAAAGAATAAAAGACCTAAATAAGGAGTTCCAGTATGTTTCAATTCAATTTATGTAAAAGGCTAGGTAGGCATCAGGCTTAAAAGACAATTTGATGTTCTTTGTCCAAATTGCCATGCCTGGGGAGCCATAAACACCCTTATCTTCACCTGTCTTGACAAAGCTCAATTCTGCAAGGTATTGAGTGGAAAATCTTATCAAGGTTATAGCACAAGATGGTCATGATGCAGCAACAGAAATCATCCCAGATTTTTGTACATAGGCTTCACCCTCACCAACTTGATTTATAAAGACTATCTTCTCTCACTGATAGACTGTGAATGAGGTGTTCGTTCATCTATTTTTCTGTATATTCATATTGAAACCAAACCCCCCGAAGTGCAGGTCACCACTAATAGCTCAGCAAAGGAAGATGAGTTGAGGCAATATTAATACAGCCTTTTTGCCAGACTCAGCCTTGCCTGTCACTGCTCAGATGTAAAACAGCACTAACAGGCACATTGTTCTGCACTGGGTATATCCTAATCCTTTGTAAATTTGAGACCTGTATTCTATGTTTCATTCATTAAAATTCCCTGATGCTCAACTAGCTGGTATGCTATTTTTCAACTTGTCATATATTGTTTAAATTCGTGGTGTTTACAGCTAAAGTCTCCTAAGACTGATTCTAAGTCCCTTAGTGATTGAGTCTGATGAAAGATGTATTTGAAGACATTTTGTGATAAACAGCAACTGAGAGCATTTCAGTACCAAGATGATGGCACAGTGTCCCAGAAAACAGATGCGTCAAGAATCACAAATGGATAATCTGGGTTGTGCACTATGGCGCAGAGTCAAAGTACCTTCATAATCAGAGGCAGCCAAAATGGGGCCACTGACATCCCGGGGTACAAAAGCTCAGTGTCACCTATCTTGCTGCAGCTCAGTGGATTCCTATGTATAGAAAAGCCCTGAGGCATACTCGGTCCTGAAGAGGCCCCTCGGTGCTGTTGGAAGCATGAAGTTCGCCAAGGTGATGCAGGAACTGGAAACTACAGATTCAGAAGAAATCACCTGACACATTTACCCACTCACTTATGCAGACAGCCACGTAATGCCCTCACATTTGGCAGTTTATATTGATAGCACAAGAGTACAGACAGTTCTTGCCATTTAGAAACATTTGGATAAATTGCTGAGTTCTGGATCCCAATTAAGACTTGTGAAAGTGTGAAAAGACTTCTCAGGAGTGACCCTAAACTCCTTGGAGATTCCTTGGAGTCTAAACCGTAAGTTGCGTGGAAATTGATACAATAACTTTGAGCTGCAAACACTAGGAAAATAATAAACTTCATGATTTGTATAAAAATAACATATTTGGATCCTATTTTTATTCCTTTTTGCAACAAACTAAACGTGCATATTCCTTCAGTGAAAAATTTGATATGCTATATATAACATCATCAGTGACTTTCAATACAGATGACAGAAAAACAGGTGCAAATACAATGAAAATAGTCTAACTATATTTTTGTTCATTAATTAATGATTTCATGTATTAAATCAAGATTTACTGGGTAGCTACCACTAAAAGGAATTTTGTTACAGAAAGAAATAAAATGATGAATATGACATGGCTCTTAATTTTAGAAGCTTATAGCATAGAAGGGATATAGATACCTGTACAACACTGGCCCAGTAGATGAACATACAGGATTTGGTAATTAGTGATGAAGAAAAACTCAACATTATTTGCATATTTTAGTATAGTGTTAGGAAAATATGATAGTTCCATTGACTGAGAAGCACTACAGTATAATAGGGAGAAAGATGGGTTTTGGTTTCCGAATCCTGGGTTCCCATCTGAGTTCCACTGCCTACTGAGTGGGTCAATTTGAGTAAATTAATCAAATTATCTGAGTTTCAAATTTTTTCATCTATAAAATAGGAATAATAATTTCTATATCTTATGTCCAAAGTACCTCAAGTGTCTGGCATACAGTTTGCATTCAATATTTTTTAATAGGATATGAAGGAGAGTGGGTACTTTTGGGGAGAGAAAAGATAAGGAGTCTAGTTTTAGCCCTACTGAGTGTGAGGTAAAGGAAGGGTGTCTCCTATCTCCAATAAGAAACTGGAGTAGAGACATGATGTCCAGGGAGCTCTCAAGGGTTTAGCATCACACGTGCTAAAGTGATGGTAAAAAGCATGAGAGTGGAGGAAAATGCCAAAGAAGGAAACAAAGGAATAAAAAATTTAACCCTCAATTAAGTCTACAATTAGGGACTACACACAAGAAACAGAAGCAACAAAAGGATGGAGAGGAGCTGGTGCCAGCGTTACAGAAAATGAAGCAGTGCATTTCACGTTGTGAAAACTAAGGACTAATAGCATCCCAGAGAGGGCATTCAGTGACCTGATGGAGCTGGCTCACAGCTCCGCAGAGCCTACTGTTCACATATCTCCCAACTCCACGTTCACTGACCTCACCTTGGGAAGCTAAAATCATCTTTTGATAGTTTTTATATACCATGGAAATTAGCAAAAGCTACAAATTAGAGTTTTTTCCTCTCTTGAACAGCTGGTTATTAAACACCAACTAGCATGCTACTCACTGAGGACTCTTTCCTGTTACCTCTTCCACTACCTCTAATAACAAGCAATGTGGAAACATGAAGGAAAACTGAGAAAATCCAGGATTCTGGCAATTAGCAGGATTTTGGTAATCTTGGAGAAGGCAGTTCAAGAGAGTGGTGGAGGACAGACTGCAGGCAGAGGCAGATGGCGAGGAACTGGAAGCCACAAAACAGAGGGGCCACAGGTGGAATTTGGAAGTTTAAGGAAGGGAGACAAACCAGAAAGAGAAGCAGTAGAAAATAAAATTATTTTTAAAGGGAAAAAGTCTGTAAAAAGTAATACTTTACAATTTAAAGGGAGGTTGGTTTCAATCCTAACTTAGCCAGATGGAGAATTTAGCACTGTTGAGGTTTAAATAAATAACATATATAAAACACTCAAGAAGAAAAGTTAACTTCCTTTACTCAGAAAATATTAACCCAGACAAATACTGAAGTCATTACAAAATATAAAGACATTACATAATCAAGGGAGCAAGTATGAAGAACAAATGAGAAGGAATCAAAAGCATATGTTGTAGTTATGTACTTGATATAATGATGAAAAGTATCAAATTTTGGGAACTATTTTCCCTTAATAAGGAAATCTCTGCTAGGTACGGTAAATATAACTTTTCCACATTGAGATTTACCTTAGTGAAGTCTGTCAAAAGTCCAGCTTTCACCAGTGTAATAATAGTCTCATCAGTTGTTTGTTTTCTTTGCAATACAGATTTATGACATCTGGACTCAAGCCCTTAAAAACTTAAGCTTTTATTTCTTCAGCATTTCTTATTGTCATATGTCTTTCTAGTTTTCTTATTCAGTAAGTGAATATATATTATCAAAGATACAAAAGGTAACCTGCAAATATTAATTTTAGACTTTATGAAATTGTGTCCAAAAATACATGCACATTAAAGGCACAAAGGACTTTAAGCTTTGTAACAAATTAAAGAAAAAATGAAGTCATTTTCCCTGGAAATGTTTGAACGAATAAAATGAGCAAAATAAACAAATCTCTTTACAGGATGACCTAAGTTAAGTCCTCCAAAAGCTGGAAATGAATAGTGGATTGCCAAGAGATCTTTCAGGTTTATGTTATTTTCTATCTGTTCAGTGATTTAAAAACAGTTCTTCTGCCCATGCTCAATGATATGATTTAAGGGAAGATAGGCAGAAACTCTGCACTAATGCTCAGACAAATCAAAAGGAAACCATGCTTTTCAGGGTTTGTTTGTTTTTTTTGTATCATTCTTAACCACCAAATAAATTCTCTCAGCTTTCTCATCTCTATCACAAATATCTGACACACAAGTCATCATTCTTACCCCTCTACT